TAACAACATACCTCTAAGCACCTTTGTATTTGTTTATTTTTTAAAATTTAAAGGCATTGGGTAGAATTAGGCTCTGAGAGCTTAAAACTTGGATCTGGAATGTGAAACAGACTTGTGTTAATCAGCCTCGGTTGCTAATAAGCTGGGGAGTGCTAACTTGGGGATTCTGGGTGTTGTAATCCAAAAGAGTTAACTCATCCAGGCTTTAATCATACTCAAGTACAAGTGGGGATCTGATTCATTCACACATAACATACACAAAGGTGATCCCTTCATGGAGCTTCACTGGGGAGTGGGGGTGTGTGTGTGCCTAATACCATTTTATTTATTCTGGAGTGGCTATTTATGGTCATTGAGATAATCTAGAGTTCTTTCCCAGCTGCACACATCACAAACAGCATGCAGTTGGCACACTTTAGGTAAAATCAATCTGCCACACAGGTGCCCCATTTTACCATTTCATTGCCATCCTGACTGGGTGGCCCAAGGAATGTTTTGCAAATAATACAGATAAATTATTCTGCATTGAGAGTGATCTTCAGGATGTTGGGGTGGGAGGAGAGAAAACACATGGAATGGAAAAGTGTGGGCATCGGACCTCAAGCCCAGTTGGTGGGTCTGAGTCCTCACACAATGGCTGACTGGGTCACCAGGCCAATATGCACAGCTAAGGGGTTCATTAGACTAGAATAGTTCCAATGGGGGAGATCCATGGGAGCCGCCGTAGTCGTGGTGGGAAAAGGCCTCACTTGACTCGGATCTCAGCATATTCAGCTAGCTCTTCCGTCAGGGTGTAGCTGTCCTTGGTGGACAGTTTGGTGAAGTCTATGTTGGCGTAGTCGATGCCCAGGTCGTCGCGCTTGGCCAAGAGTCGTTTATCACTGCGCCCGTACTGCAGCGGGGAAAACAATAATAAAAAGAACAGGTTAACTCACATTTTGAATTTGCAGCAGGCATGGAGATGGTGTGACCAGATGTTGCTGGACTGCAAGTCCGAGGACTTGTGTGATGAAGCAACATTAAAGTGTGCTTCAGGTGACAAAAGCGAAGAACAGACAAGCTAAGAGAAGTTGCAGCACTTTGATTTTGCTCAAATCTTTTCCTTGGACTGTGTTTCCTCTAAATTGTGTTTCTAAATAGTGAATTGTAGCTTCAAAGACCCACAATGCTGGAAATTTGAGAACGAAGAAAATTTAATGGAAGGGAAGAAGCATATTTGGGTGAAAATGCCCTCATTTTACCCTTCTCCCCTTAGCAGCTACACTTGTTGGGGTCAAAATGGCTTTGTATCATCTAGCCTGCAAAGGCTACTGATGTGATGAGCAGACAAAACTATACCAAGATAAAAGCATTTTAAAAACTATATTAAAATACTCTACAACACCGGACTCTTTCTGAAAAATGACAGAAGACCACCTGATCATTAAGAGCTCAAGACCAAATTGACTTAATCTGACTGTTGGGATCAGAAGGCCGTCATCAGAAGAGTCTATGTTAGGTGAGGTCAGGTGTCCTTCTAGACAGGAATTGCGAAAGAAGCCCCTCTCAACCAAATGTTGCCTATCTATAATTCCCATCAACCCTCAACATTTAATGGAAATCAAGAGGAGATGCAGTACATTTAGATGTGAAGGATCATAGTTCCACACCCCTGAAGTCATCCAGCATCTTGCTTCCCTTCCAGATGCCTTGATGGAAAGCCTTGAGGCAGAAGGTCTTTCTTTCCTGCTCCAGTCCTCAGCCCAGTGCCTGTGAGCATAGGGATTCCACCTAGCCATTGTATCATATCATAATAGTATATGCCAGTGTGGGATTGTGTGTTGTTAAATGGCAACTCCCAGCATTTCTCACCATTGCCTATGCAGGCTGAGACATGCAATTGAAAGACTGCAGAATGCCAACTTCAGAATGCCAACTTCCGAGATATGTTTTTCCATATTCTCCAATATTTCTCCGATGAAAACTGGGCAAGATGTAGCCAAGCAACATCAAAGTGTCGTCAAGATGTCAAAAATATTAATGAGGAAGAACACATCAGTTAGGAGACCACAGGTATCTGTGGTGGCCAGTAGGGCCTTTGCACAATTAAAACGTGTGCGTCAACTGCTCCTGTTCCTTGAGAAGCCAGATCTGGCCATGGTGGTCCCTGCCTTAGTGATTCCAGACACAATGCAAAGTGTTGGTTATGGCCTTTAAAGCCCTAGATGGCTCAGGTCCAGACTATTTGGCTGACCATGTCTTCTTGTATGAACCCTGAGATCTTCAGGAGAGGCCCTTCTCTTGGTCCCACCTCCATCTCAAGCATGGTTGGTGGGAATGAGAGAGAGGGTCTCCCTTCTTGGTGGCTACCCCTCGACTCTGGAACACCCTGCCCAGGGAAGCCAGAATGGCCCACTCTCTGCTGTCCTTCTGCCCGCAGGCTAAAACCGTTTTATTCAGGCAGGCTTTTAAAGAAGAAGGTTTTAATGATCAAGTCGGGCTGCTGTAGTTTTTAAATGTTTATAGATTTAATCTGAATTGTTTTTAATACTAATGATGTTTTAATATTTGTATATTTGAAATTGTATTGTAATGCTTTTAATGTTCACCGCTTTGATTCTCCTTATGGAGAGAAAAAGCAGATCTAAATAAACATAATAAACATAGGTAAAGAAAAATTTTCCCCTCGACATTAATTCTAGCGGTGTTCAACTCTGGGGGGTGGTGCTCATCTCCATTTCTAAGCCAAAGAACTGGTGTTGTCCATAGATGCCTCCAAGGTCATGTGGCCGGCATGACTGCATGGAGCATCCTTAGCTTCCTGCCAAGGCGGTACCAATTGATCTACTCACATTTGCATGTTTTTGAACTTCTAGGTTGGTAGAAGCTGGGGCTAACAGCAGGAGCTCACCCCACTCCCTGGATTCAAACCACCAGCCTTTTGGTCACCAAGTTCAGCAGCTCAGCAGTTTAACCCGCTGTGCCACCAGGTGCTCCTAATATAATAAACATAAACATAATAATAATAATAATAATAATAATAATAATAATAGATTATTTGCTGTTGGCTGAGCCCACTGGGAAGGTCAAGATTCTGCCCCTTTCTTTCTTCTCCCCAAAATGAGTTCAAAGTTTAACTCTTTGAACTCAGTTTGTAGCCACTGAGCTAAACTGAGGACAAGAAGAAGAGTAAGATGAGACTGTATGCTTTTCTTCTGAAAGGAAATGACAAAGGACAAATATATTCAGTGGCAAAGTTTGGAAAAGTTACTTTTTTAGACTGTAATAACTTTATTCTTATACCCCGCCATCATCTCCCTGAAGGGACTCAGGGCGGTTTACATGGGACCAAATGTCCATAAGACAATAAACAAACAATCCATCAAACAAAAATACAATTAAAATAAGAACATAATCAAATGGAGCATTTGTCCAATTAAAAGCAAAGTAAATAGACATAAAATACAAAACATTAGCATTAAAACTCCATCCAATTGGTTTTTTCATCAGATATTTCAGGCCTGAGCCTTGGCACTAGAACCATATCTTCAAAGATGCAAAAAGAAAGAAGAGAAAATGTAGGGAAAGCTTCCAGAAAGGACACACACAGAGACGAGGACGGACTCCATGCAGGAGAAGCAGGAGGCCATTCAGAAAGAGACTGATTGGACAAACAATCTAGAGCATTTTACATGACACTGAAAGGAACTTCGTCTCTCAGGATTTGTGGCGGCAAATGTTTTAATGCAGGAGAGCTGTTGTCAGATCAAAGGAACACTCATATATTATTGGCATCGACTTCAAATCAGAGACATGAGAAATGTCAAAACACAAACATCAAAACCGACAAGGACAATGTAAACATTGTGAGCAAAACAACATAGAGTGAACACTAGAACTGACATCAGCCTTCCCAGCACATTACAGTGTTTACATTGTACAATAATATCAGTTGACCTTATTGAGTTGTAACATTGATTGAAAACCACTCTGATCCACTGATTGGATATGTAAATACTAGTTACTGCATTACTAGTATTTAAATCAGAGAGAAAAGTCTCCCATTATTTTCTGATGACTTCCCTAGATTTCCCATTTTATTTTGCAAATAGGAACAGAAAGGAGATTCCATCTGAACATTAGAAAGAACTTCCTGACTGTGAGAACTGTTCAACAGTGAAACTCTCTGCCCTGGAGTGTGGTGGAGGCTCCTTTGGAAGCTTTTAAACAGAGGCTGGATGGCCATCTGCCAGGGGTACTTTGAATGCAATATTCCTGCTTCTTGGCAGGGGGTTGGACTGGATGGCCCATGAGGTCTCTTCCAACTCTTTGATTCTATAAGATGTCAAAGCCACTGTGATGTCATGATTCTCCATCATTAAATTAGCTGTAGATTTCTCAAAATATGGTAGTATGAAGTGGAAGTCTTTGGATTTCTACAACTCAAATGCCGCACAGAAAAAACGTGGGGACCGGGGGACGGGACATAATGTGACACGTGGACAGGGGGGGTCCATACTTACCTACCTGGGTCAGTGACTCTCCAGGGAGCAGATCTCCTTAGACTATTAGAAAAGGAAGAGTAGTCACTAGTGACTTCAATGAGAAGGACATCTCTTTCAGCAGAAGCCAGAAATTGTGGGGTAGAGGTGGATTTTTAAATAAAGTCAGTCATCTTGATAGTCTCTCCCCCAAAGAGACCCAAAACATAGGCTATTTCTGCTCACCATATGTAAGTTTCTGCTGGTTATGAATTGATGTTTTGGTTCTCTGCTCTATATTGGTGGAATCACCTAACAGCTCTGATTCCCCAAGAGATAAATCCATTTCTGCTAGAACTGATCTGTTAATTACAGATGTAAATCCTCACATGCAAAAACAAATAATTATTGTATTTCTTTCACTTTTGTGAATTAAAACATATTTTATGCATATTTTTCTCTACAAAAAATGTCCTACATGACTTTGCATTGAAAAATTATTTAATCACTACTATTGTTTATATCTGCTTTTTCTCTCTTAAACGAGACTCTCTTTAAAAAATCCTCTAGAACACTTCAAGACATTCAAATATAGGGAGAAAACCACATGAAAACTCTTTGCTCTCTTATCCTTCCCAACAGAATTTCAAGACTATCAGGAAGCCCTTTCTTTCAACCAGAAAATGAAAAATTCATACAGTTGTTTTGAACTTGTATTGCTAATATGGATCACCAGCTGCTTTTAATTTGGGGACTCCCCCGTTTTTGGAAAGGCATTACCTTTTAGAGACCATAACCTTTTAGAAAACCAGGAATCTCCATAGCGTTTTGGAAGCATGACCCTTTTGGAGATTGATAGGCACTCACACTATTTGGAATAATCACATCCTTTTGTAAAGTATGATCTTCCTGAGAAGATTTAAATACTTGTTTGAATTAATCTTCTCCTTAGTGATAAATATCCACTAGTATTCATGCAAGGCAAATTGGGGTTCTCAGTTGTTAGACCGATGTATTTTGTTATCTCTCTGAACTGTTAGGAACAAAGATATGCTTAAGCTTATTTTTCTGGTTAAATTTTGTATGTTATTAAGTTTATATTGTTTGATGTGTTCCATTTTGATGTAATTTGTTTATATGTCTTCTCGTGGGCATTAAATGTTTGCCATATATGTTGGAAACGACCCTGAGTCCCTTTGGGGAGATAGAGTGGTCTATAAATAAAGTTTTATTAACGTTATTATGCCAATGCACAAAATATATAGCAGATTTTCAGAAGTGTTATTTCAATTGCCTAAAAACTCTACTTTCCACAAAATATATTGCTTTTTAAATCAAGCTCTCAAGAAACCAAAAATAAGTAGTCTTAGTTAAAAGTAATATAGTTGATTTACTTATTTACAAATTTCATGTATTCAGCATACAGGTACATTTCTTATTGGTTGAGAGTTTAAACAGTAAGTTCTCTAAAGCATTCTGTTTTAATCTCTTCGCTGTTGCATACAGACTAACACTCTCTTCAGTCTACATTACTGAACACTGACTCAATACAGACTGACTTATCACGGCAACATACTGACACTGACTAACTTCTAAACTGTACTGCTTCTGATGCAAACACTCTAAATAAATGGTTCTCAACCTGTGGGTCTCCAGATGTTTTGGCCTTCAACTCCCAGAAATCTGAACAGATGGCAAACTGGCTGGAATTTCTGGGAGATGTAGGTGAGAACACCTGGGGACCCACAGGTTGAGAACCATAGCTCTAAACTGTACTGGCTTCTAAAATGGAGACTCAGTCTGAATAGTCCCAGATCTAGTCACATGGTCAGCAGTACCTCCCACAACCTCAAACAACATAGAGTTAAGGCAAAACTGCATATTAAATCATATACATACAATATAGTAAGCAATTCACAATTATATACATAATAAATAACTAATATAGGAGGCTTTAGAAGGTTGCTATTTCCAACATTTGTTAAGATAGAGGCCTGCAAATTTAAAATTGACATCTGTGCCACTAACCATATGATAACTGTACCCAACAGTAGCTAGTGGGGCAGTGAATTTGCTCCAGGTCTTAGAAGCTAACAAATATTCTGATTTCATAAACCAAATAGCATTAATACGTTGGGTATCTCCTTTAAAAATCACACTAATACCTGGAGCTGATTCATTCCAATGCTATCTGCTGGCATTGGTTCATTCTAGATGAAGCCACCAGGATAGAAACATTGCACATACACACAAACACACACATGTGAGTGTTCTTTCTCTTAGGAGGTGAGTATTCCTTTCCACCTTCTGAAATGACCAAGGTTCCCTCCCCAGATTTACTATGCAGCCACTGCAGCCCTATATAGCCATTGCAAGGTTGGTGGAGAGCGTGGAGAGGAATTGAGGAACTGTCTGGTTGTGTTTCTGTAGCTAGACACAGAATTATGAGACCTTTGAAGGACCTCTATAGTTCTCAGTGGATGATCTAACCATTCTATGTCTGGCTACGAGAGCAAAACCAGAGGCTTCTCTGATTCCCTTTCTTGCTTCCAGCTCGTCACTGAATAGCCATGGGAAAAAGGGCCTGCGGTGGCTCATTCACAGGTCCAGGCGATATTGAATGGCTTAGTGTAGCATACTTCTGCATGTGGAACGATTACACTATGTATTGTCGAAGGCTTTCGTGACTGGAATCACTGGGTTGCTGTGAGTTTTCCGGGCTGTAGAGCCTCTGAGGATGCCTGCCATAGATGCAGGCGAAATGTCAGGAGAGAATGCTTCTGGAACATGGTCATACAGTCCAGAAAACTCACAGCAACCCAGTATTACACTATGCTGTGCTATACAGGACCACAGCCATTGTATCTCTCAGCCCTTTTCCTGCTACTCCATTCATGGAGGCTATTCCTTAACCCACATCCTATTTGCTACCCAGATGTTCTTCTTCTGAGGCCCCTTCCACACATATTAATAATATCCCACATTATATGCCTTGAACTGGAATATATGGTAGTGTGGACTCAGATAACCCAGTTCAAAGCAGATGTCGTGGGATTTCCTGCCTTGATATTCTGAGTTATATAGCTGTGTGGAAGGGCCCGGACTCAAACTGTGATTTTAGTTTCAAGCACCATGATTATGGGCCACACGTGAAGACGAAGAATTCAAGAATGGCCTTTCTCAAACTTGGACGGGAAGGGGTGTATTTGGGGTTGGCCCATCTGGCACGTGTACAGTATCTGTAACACTGTCATATGTGTCTTTGTGATGCATCTGGATGCCAAACCATGACTTTCTGGTCAAAGTCTGGCAGCCAGTAGTCACATTATTAGGCATGCCATGAAAAGCATTTCCAAAACAAGAAGTGTTTTGGTCCTGGACTTCTCCTTGCTTATTGCCACTGTCTGTTCACTTGAGACTATCTGAGCAAGCAAGTGCTGAGAGACAAAAGATGCAAATGCTTTAATGCTAGGAAGCAGCTCTTCATATGTTCAACTGAAGCTCCCATCAGCCCTAGTTAGCTTAGCTAATGAGCAGAGATCATGAGAGCTGGAGTCCAAAAAACATAGGGAGGAAGGGCCACAAAATGCCTGCCCTGGGCCAAAAGGAGAAAAGCAAGTGAATAGATTACAGGAACTATAGGAGGGCTGTGGGCACCCTCAAACTATCTTGTCCAGGAACTTCCAAACCTAGCACTGGCATAGCTTCTACCTCTTTCATCTTCCAGTACCTCTGATTTCTCCAGTTTGCCTGGACCCCTGTAGTCTCCACTGAAGACAGCAGGGGGGTTGTCTGTTTGCATAAAGCTGGAGCTTTCGTTTGTGTTTTTCCTGCAAAATAAGAAAGACAACAAAATGACAAGGGTTTACTGTGATGAATTCTGCACATAAATCCAACCAGTTTTGTTCAGTTTTGCTACCAAGAATTAGGTTTAATGCATGAATCATCAGCTTTCCAGAGTTAGTTGGAGTGTAATTCCAAGCATTCCTTATCATTGGCGATCCTGCCTATGGCTACTGGGACTTGCAGGCTAATAATATTTACACGCTGCTCCAAGAATTTTGGATTCACTCCCTATCTACTGTCGTTCTATTAGGTGACAAGGCTCTTTGTATTCAGAGAAAGTTTTAGAACTGAAGGCTTTTAATGAAAGGGATTTTAAGAGAATACTTGCTGCCTTCAATGTTACTCTTTTAATTGTATTCTATCTGCATTATGTGTATGTTGCAACTTGTTTTAATTTGGATGTGTTTGAATTTTGGCTTTTGGGTATATATTGTTAGCATTTTCATTTGTAAGCTCCCTTGAATCCTATTCTTGGGAAAAAGGTGGGCTATAATTTGCAGTAACAAAAAGAACTTACTTTTTCCTGGTCTGGCTGACATAACACACCACAGCTATAAGGATGGCAAAGGCGACCACTGCTCCAACAGGCCCCACTTTTGCCCACATCAGACTGTCTGTAAAAGAAAAAGCCACAAGAACAGGATAGGCAATAGGGCAGTAATGTTGCTGCCAATACAATAGAGGCAAAATATGTAAACATATATAAAACAGATCCAGCCATAGTCATGCTTTCAAAGTGTCTCCTGGCCTATGCTGGGAGCAATGGGTGTTTCTGTAAGCATAGATCTGGCCTCTGTTAAGACAGAGAAGGCACAGGATTTTGGAAATACATTTCATAGAATGGTGGTTTGTAGGGCTGTCCATTTGGAGTAAGCCTTGACCTGTTTTGTGTCCTGGCTTTTGGTGGGGGCCTGATCCGTATTTTGGGGGACTCCCAAAATTGGGGGGGGAGGGAGAAGGAAATATCTGTTTTTGCTCTTTGGTGCCGAAAGATCCGTTTTCTATCAGCCCATTATTGTGGGAGGGCCTTCCCACCCATGCTTCCCTTCCTGAGACGTGCTTTAAGGAGACTTCTCCTTACCTGCTGTTTCTGGCACTGGCAGGTTGCAGGCACTGGCAGGTGCAAATGCTTTTTTGGGCCTTCTCTTTCCAAGGAGAATGTGTGTGGCATGCAGGTCCAGAAAGCACGCATGCCTGCCAATTCATGTGATCGAGCGTCTCTTACTCTAGAGTAAGAGGCACTCGGCTGCAGGTACTGGCAGGCATGGGTGCTCCTGCATGCCACACATGTACTCTCCTTTGAAAGAGAGAGAGAGTGTGTGGCTTGCAGGCCCAGAGCACCCACACCGTTAGTGCCTGTAGCTGAGCATCTATTACTCTAGAGTAAGAAGCGCTCAGCTGGACATACTGGCAGATCCAGGCACTCCTGCATGCCACACATGCATTCTCCTTGAAAAGTAAGTGTGTGTGTGTGTGTGGCGTGCAGGCTGAGAAAGTGCCTGCACCTGACAGTGCCTGCAAGTGCCTCTTATTCCGTGATGTGAAAAAGCACTGTTTCTACTCTAGAGGAGGTGCCTGGTTGCAGGCACTGGCAGGCATGGGCCTGCAAGCAACACACACATTCTCTTTCCAAGGAGCGTGTGTGTGGCATGCAGATCCAGAAAGCACCCACGCCTGCCAATTTCATTACTTAGAAATGAGTAAGAACATACAAGTTGAGAGAAGCTGTCACAGTTTGCTTTTGCCTGAGCCTACTGGGAAGGGTAGGATTCCCCACTCTTTTCTATCTTTCTCCCACTTGCTGAGTTAAATGAATGCAAACTGCTTTGAATTAAGCTGAGAACAAAGGGGAGATGAGGGAGTGAGAGAAACAGAGGCATTTTAAAAAGGCATGGGAAAGTGAAATGTTAAAGGATTAACCAGGACCGTCCCAGCCAAACTGGGTAGATGGGCAAAAGTTTCTGCTTTTTCTCCTGCCAGTTCTTGTTTGCATGCTAGACAAATACAGAAAAGAACAAGTGGGACTGAAGATCAGGACAAATCTTATGGCAGGAGTCCTGAAAATCAGGGTTGATGTCAGCCTGCACTGTAAGGATCAGGAGGAGCTTGCTGGACTCTTACTGGAGTGATGGAACTGCAGTTGTTGATTCTTGGTGCCGTAGTGGTTCCTGGCAGAGCAGACGATGAACAGCTGGGAGTCCACCTCCCTCTGAACAGTGAGGATGCTGGTGACAACATAGCCTGTTTTCTGTGAGTACACAAACTCCCGGTCCGTCTCGTTCACCGTCACATTACGCGTAGGCAGCTCAAAAGTGATCACGGCCTCCGGGTTGGATTTGGCCGCACAGATGCACTTCACTGTGTCCCGAGCTGCTGTGCACTTGGAATCTGGCAGGATAATTGGAGCAACTGTGTAGAGAAAGAGAGAGAGAGATTGAGAATCAGAAGCAGAAGATGAGAGAGAAAAGTCTGAAGTGTAACACTGGACCAGTCCAACAGATTTGTTTGTTTCCTGCCTACAGATGCTATGGGATTATAATTTCCACTGTCCTTTGCCAGCATAGTCAGTAGCAAATGCTGTTGGAAGTTGCAGTCCTGCAAGATTATAATGATGAGATGCTTTCTACTGGTCCACCTTAGCAACCTACACACCAGATTTGAAAAACCTTTGTGAGAGTTCTAGAATATATCCAAGAATTCAAGAAAGACATATCAAAATAATGGAATAAGCAGTTATGGGGGTCATGACAAATGGCAAAACCCCAACAGCTATATTATGAGAACTATCACTTCTTTAAACCAATCTGGAAGAACCCAACATCTGCAAATGCCATTTTGTTCAGGCAGCCAAATGTTTCAGATTGGTTTCTTGTAGGTTTTTTGGGCTATATGGCCATGTTCTAGAAGCATTCTCTCCTGACGTTTTGCCTGCATCTGTGGCAAGCATCCTCAGAGGTTGTGAGGCCACAACTTCTGAGGATGCTTGCCATAGATGCAGATGAAACTTCAGGAGAGAATGCTTCTAAAACATACCCATATAGCCCGAAAAACCTACAAGAACCCAGTGATTTCAGCCTTCGACAATACGTTTCAGATTGGCTTTTGGCCCTGGGAGATCCTACTGCCTCCAAACTAGAAAACCCTTAATAAAACACAAACATGCAGGGGAGAAATATGCAATTTTGCATCATGAGCACTGGTGGGAGAGCACCTTTGCATGTGCCCTGATGAACACAATTTCCGGTATCATTACTTCCTGGGAGCATGAGCAACAGTTCCCATTAAGGTTCACTGTTGAAAAGGGAATTATCGGGGATCAGGGTCCATTGCTCACATTCAATGGTGAGGTTGAAGGCTGTGCTGCGCTGACCGAACTGGTTCTCTGCTGTGCACCAGTATTCCCCATCATCCTCATGAGACACTGACTCAAACTCCAAGGACACCTGGTTCTGGTAGACTCCCATAGCCATTGGCTTCTTCTCCTTGAAGATGGTGATGGTGGGCTCGGGGTTGCTCTGTGAGGTGCAGAGGATGCTTACAGGATCTCCCTCAACCGCCACCACGGATGTGTTCACAACTGGTTTCCAAGGGGCATCTGTGAAGGGAAGGGGAACAAAACTGACAGGATCCTCTATTTTCTGCCACTACAAATATAAAATACCCCTGGCAGAACTCTGAACTTCATCACATTGAAACTGGGAAGTGTTTGGTAGAGTAGAACTCAGTCTGACTCAATCTTGAAATTAAATGGATGATTTCCCGAGGAGGGAAACCCTTCATCACACTATTAAATGTATCTGTGTTACTCAGTTATACTCAGCATTCTTTCAGTAGATTTGCCATCACACTATAATTGCTAGGCACTGTCTGCCATCCCTCCCCGTGTTCTTTGTGGGGGAAAATTGTAAGGTGTTATGTTTCAATTCAGGAAGCAGAGAGGGAGGGAGGGAAAGTGGCAATGCTCTCTATGTCTCTCACTCTCTTTCTCTCTCCTGCCCCACAGAGAAGAGTATGAACCTTGGAAAACTATAACTCCCAGGAGGACTCCATTGCATGGAGCCATGGCACTTAAAGTGGAGTGCAAGGGCATTCATTCCATACTGTAAATGCACTAAGAGAAGGGTATGGACCTTGGAAAACTATGGCTCCCAGGACTGCACATGGAGACATGGCATAATAATAATAATAATAATAATAATAATAATAATAATAATAATAATAATAATGAGGTAAAAGTAAAACCTTTCTTCTGGTGAAAGTGATGCTTCCCTAAGGTATAATTTCTGTGTGGGGAAGAGTAGATATTGTCAATGATAAGGCCAATGATAGGGCCAATGACTTTTATTTCCTGTGCTGGTATATGATCGAAATAAAGGATTTGCTTGATTGATAGGCCCAAAATTAGAAGTGATTAGGATTAATGCTAAAAATAAATGAAGTATGGGAGTTTTTTGTGTGTGCATGTGCCAGGAGCGACTTGAGAATTGCTTCTGTCTGCCAGGATGTTGTCCAGGGGACACCCAGATGTTATAGCATCCTGTGAGAGGCTTCTCTCATGTCCCTATAGAGAAGCTGGAGCTGACAGACAGGAGCTCACCCAGCTCCCCGGATTCAGACCACCAAACTTTTGGTCAGCAGTCTTGCCCACACAAGGGTTTAACCAATTGAGCTACCAGGGGTTCCTAATGTGGGAGGTGGGCGCAGGTTTAGACTTGTCCCCTTCCTTGAACTTTATTGCGCACAACAATGGAGCAAGAATGTCATTTTGGAGCTGGACGTATTGCAGTACACTTAGTATTAGAAAAAAAATCTTTTGATATTTGTCCATGCTTATGTATACAACCCTGTGAGTTGATTAGACCGTAGTTGGATCCTTCATCCTTTTAGTATAACAAAAAGACCCATATTCCAAAGCTGAAAGTACAAGTGTTCACCACGGTGTTCAATCACTGAACGGACTTACTGTTCTGCTCTTACGTGTTGGATGTAATCTTTGAGAGACTAACTTCAACCGTTTGTTTGTTTTTTTTTTTGGAGCACATATGGGCTTGAATCCCAATTGAACAAAACCCATTTAATCAATTAGACCTTGATTAAAAATCATTTACTCAAGAACATAGGTGTTTACTTACCCTTCAATAATTGATGCTGTGGGTCATGGCTTGCTTCGGTTAAGGCAGACATCTAGCTGACAATAATGTTCATCACCCTGACTTTTTCCCTTCCTACTTCTCTTTCCTTCCCCTGCTTTATCTTGTCCTTTTATTTGTGTACTTGTAGTTAAAACTTTAATTATTATTAAATTATTATTATTATTATTATTATTTTAAAAACCTCACAACCATAAACATCCAACAATAATACCTGAAGGACAAAATCAAACAAAACTGGGGTCATAAATGTGATTGGACCAGATTTAGATAATGAAAGGTCCAAATAAGTGGGTCCCCAGATGTTTTGGCCTTCAACTCCCAAAAATCCTAACAGCTGGGATTTCTGGAAGTTGTAGGCCAAAACATCTGGGGCCCACAGGTTAAGAACCACTGTTCGAAATGCTTGGTCAGATTCCTGATTCTTTGTTTCAACTCTTATTGTCATAGTAGTCCTCCCACCATATTGGGTAGATCTGCCCCACAGAATTCAGGAATTAGGCACTCACATAGCACAGCCAAAGCCAGGGAATGGTTGTCTTTGCCATAGATGTTCTCAGCCATACAAGTGTAGATGCCATCCTGGAGGTAAGTGACATTTTCTAGATGTAGCGTGAGGTTCCCAGCCACGTCCTCATGTAGGACTTCATCTTCTCGGAGCCATGTGATCAGAGCCATAGGGCTGCTGTCTACAGAACATATCAGCACCACGTCTGAGCCATGGATCACATCCATGGAGGAGTTCGCCTGCACAATACGAGGTGGGACTGGGAAGGAAAACCAAAGATATCAATTTCAGGTAGATATTCAGGTACCTCTCCACAAAAATCAGGGCTAATATGTGGTCTGAACTTTGAAACCCACTCGGTGACTTTAGATGAGTTATATACTCTTGGTCCCAGAAAACCTCATGCTAGATTCACCTTAGTAAAGCTAAAGGTTTCCCCTAATATTAAGTCTAGTTGTGTCTGACTCTGAGGGTTAGTGCTCATCTCCTTTTCTAAGCTGAAGAGCCGGCATTGTCCATAGACATCTCCAAGTTCATGTGGTCAGCATGACTGCATGGAGCGCTGTTACCTTCGTGCAGAAGCGGTACCTATTGATCTACTCGCACTTGCATGTTTCCAAACTGCTTGGTTGGCAGAAGCTGAGGCTAACAGTGGGAGCTCACCCTGCTCCCCGGATTTGAACCACCAACCTTTCAGTCAGCAAACTCAGCAGCTCAGTGGTTTAACCCACTGTGCCACTGGAGGCCCATAGATTCACCTTAGGGTCACCATAAGTTGGATGCGCCTTGATGGTACACAACAACAGCAATCCAAGGGAGAACAGGATGACCCCATCCCTGCTGGCCTTCCGCAGACAGGCCAAGACCTTTCTCTGCCAACAGGCATTTGGGGAAGGATAAGAGACAGGCTTTAGGGAGGTTGGGTGGGATTGGCGGGGTGAGGGTGGGGAATCTATGAATTTTAAAGGCCATTTTATGTGTATTTATTATATTTTAATCCTGTTTTTACCACACTGTCACTATTTAATTGGGTTTTTTTTTAAACTTTTGTATTGTACTTTTAAAAACTTGTCTAGTTTGGAAGTGTTAGCCAACTTGAATCCCCGCGGGGGGGGGGGGGGGGGGATTGCTGTGAGTTTTCTGGGCTATATGGCCATATTCCAGAAATGTTCTCTCCTGATGTTTCGCCCACATCTATGACAGGCATCCTCAGAGGTTGTGAGGTCTGTAGGAAACTAGGCAATTGAGGTTATATATCTTTGCAATGTTCAGGGTGAGCCACCTAACACCTCCCAACAAAGGATTCTCCCAGGCAGGAAATAGCTGGGCTTTGAAGGTGCAAGGCCATTCAATGCTAATCAAGCTGGTCAATTGTAACATTCACAATTGCCTTCAACAGACAAGAGTTCTTTCTCCCACCCTGGACATTCCACAGATATATAAACCTCACTTGCTTAGTTTCCAACAGACCTCACAACCGCTGAGGATAGCTGCCATAGAAGTGGGTGAAACATCAGGAGAGAATGCTTCTGGAACAGGGCCATATAGCCTGGAAAACTGACAGCAACCCAAAGTTAAGAAGAAGGAGGAGGAGGAGAAGGAGGAGAAGGAGAAGGAGAAGGAGAAGGAGAAGGCAGGCATCCTCAGAGGTTGAGACATCTGTTGGAAACTAAGTAAGTGAGGTGGAATATCCAAGGTGAGGGTGTTTGTCTGCTTGAGGTACGTGTGAATGTTGCAATTTGCTTCCTTGAGAATGCTTCTGGAACATATATACATATAGCCCGGAAAACTCACAGCAACCCAGYGATTCTGGCCATGAAAGCCTTTGATAATACAATATTATTATTATTATTATTATTATTATTATTATTATTATTATTTGAAACACAACAAGATTAGTACACAGCAGACAAGATCACTATGTTGTATTGGATCACACRTCTAGGACTGTGATGCATCGRCAAATAATGCATGCAGATCCCAGTAGCGTGGCCTTTTGCAGCTGACAGATGGTCAGCGCCGATTGTGTTTAAGTGCAGGCCAAGGTCTTTAGGCACTGCACMYACTGTKCCARTCAACACTGGGACCATCTTTACTGGCTTATGCCAGAGTCTTTGCAGTTTGATCTTATTATTATTATTATTATTATTATTATTATTATTATTATTATTCTGACACAAAAACTCAGTATGTCACAGCAAATGAGATCTTTATGCTGGATTTCATACTACAAAATCACAAGTCGAACACTTCCCAAGCCKTCTAGGACTSTGTGATGTATATTCGAATGATGCKTGCAGATCCAAGTAAGGTGGCCTTTTGCAATTTACAGATCATGATTTTGTCAATGTTTATTGTTTCCAAATGCCAGCTGAGATCTTTTGGCACAGCACCCAGTGTGCCAATGACCACTGGGACCACCTGTACTGGTTTATGCCAGAGCCTTTGCAGTTCGATTTTGTATTATTATTATTATTATTATTTCTAATATTTTTTTTCAAGAAGATATTCGATTCTGCATTAAATACACAGTTATCCTTTCCCTGGACTGATATTTTTTGCTAATAACAATAAAAGCAGTCTGAGAAAGCTTGCAGTAGAAGAATGACAGGCAAAGAGAGATTGCATAATACTCTCTCGCTGGTTTTCCACTTAAAACGCTACCTGCCAAATTGCTTTTTCTCCCATGGGTAGCAAGGTTATATTGACTGAAGCCTGAGGGTAGTCAATGATGAAAAAAGGATTTCTTCACTTTTCTCCATTCCCTTTATATTTGCTGCATCCTACTCTCTTTTTACATTAAAGAAGACCAGCTCAAAACCTCTTGGGACACTGGTGCACATTACAGAAATGTCTAGTTTGGCCACATATTTTTACAGCTGCAATTATAAGGTGTTTGTGGGTGTATTTGGGGATAGACTTGAAGAGGATTTGTTTGTAAAGCAGATAAATGTGAGTAGGAAAACAGATCTTTGGAGAGGGGAGGAACCAAGAGGAAGCTTATAATTAAAGCTTCCCCTTCGAAAGGAACAAAAATCAATCAAATGTGACACAATTGGAAGCTAATAATCAATCTTCCATTATCACATTAAGCTGGAAGCAACTATGGGGGTTGAAGTTATAAGGTGGGTGCTACTCATTAATATTGTTGGTTGCCTTTGCAGTAATGAGGCATTCTTTTCCAAGTAATAAATAGTATAGAAAGATCTTGGCATGAATACAGACTAGACACTGTAGGACTTGGCACTATAGTGTGGAAATATGTTCTGGAGGGAATAATTGTTTTAACTCTGCTTCTAGCTCAGTGTTTCTCAACTTTCTTAATGCCGTGGCCCCTTAATACAGTTCCTCATGTTGTGATGACCCCCAAGCATAACTTTATTTTTGTTGCTATTTCATAACTGTGATTTTGCAACTGTTATGAATTGTCATGTAAATATCTGATATGCAGGATGTATTTTCATTCATTGGACCACATTGGCACAAATACTCGATACGGGGCGGGACTGATTTTATCATTTGGGAGTTGTAGTTGCTGGGATTTATAGTTCACTTGCAATCAAAGAGTATTCTGAACTCCACGAACGATGGACTTGAAACAAGCTTGGCACACAGAACTTCCGTGACCAACAGAAAATACTGGAGGGGTTGTTGTAGGTTTTTTAGGCTGTATGGCCATGTTTTAGAAGCATTCTCTCCTGATGTTTCACCTGCATCTTTGGCAGGCATCCTCAGAGGTTGTGAGGTGAGGTTGTGAGGTGAGGTTGTGAGGAAATGTCAGTAGAGAATGCTTCTAGAACATGGCCAACAGCCTGAAAAACCTACAACAACCCAGTGATTGCGGCCATGAAAGCCTTCGACAATACAACAGAAAATACTGGAAGGGTTTGGTTAACATTGAGTTTTGGAGTTGTAGTTCACCCACATCCAGAAAGCACTGTGGACTCAAACAATGATGGATCTGGACAAATTTGGCACGGATACTGAATATGCCTAAATGTGGACACTGGTGGAGTTTGGGGGAAATAGACCTTGAAATTTGAGAGTTGTAGTTGTTGGGATGTATAGTTCACGTACAATCAAAGAGCATTCTGAATCCCACCAACAATAGGATTGGGTCAAACTTCCCACACAGAACCCCCATGCCTTGAAGCGACTCTCTGGCACAAGGCTTCCTCCAGCCTTGAATGCTCTCCCTCATTCGCACATGTGCACCACGCTGCCATGTGCCAAGCACACTTGCTCTCCCCTCCGCACTTGCAGTCTCAGAAAAAGCCCTCCCCTTGGCTGAGAGGCCAGCCAATCACAGTGGAGGAGGGCTTTTGGTGTGTCCAAAAAGAAGAGAAGGACAGGCAGAGAATTCTTCAGCCTTCTCTACCAAAGGGATTGCTAAGACCATCAGAAATATATGTTTTGTGATGGTCTTTGGTGACCCCTCTGAAATCTCCTCATGACCCCTCCCCCAGGGATCCTGACCCCCAGGTTGAGAAACGCTGTTCTGGCTGATGATTGAAAAATGGTGCTCCACCAGCATCCAAGTGTAGAAGCAAAGAAGCTTTCCTATTGGAGAATCTGGAGAATTGGTAATTGGTGAGCAAGTAACCCAGGCCTCCAGGTACCAAGTTTTCCTCAGAATCCGCCATGTAGCAACAAAACTTACATTTTACATCCAAGGTGGTGTATCCTTCAAACTCAAAAGTGGTGTTGGCGTAGGTGACTTTGCAGCCCAACTCGCGCCCGTGGTTCTCTCGCTGCGGCATGAACTTGAGCAGGGAGATGAGCGACCAGGTGCTGCCCTCCTCTTCCACTTGGGCATAGACAGAACGTTCAGTCAGGGTCTCATAGTTCATCCATGTAATAATGGGCTTCATGTCGGGGCAGTTGTCGGGCACTACACATCTCAGCTCCACTTCTGTTCCTTCCACCACTTCTGGGGGGCTCACGATGGTGGGTTTGTCTATGAGTCATGAAAAGAACCAGAGATGAGGGTGCAGAAATAGCCTGTATTTAAGGAGAAGTTGCAGCACAGAATGCTTTATGAAAGGAGGGGAGCAGAACTGGTCCCCAAAGCTTTCAAAGTTTATAAACCTGAAGATAGTCCAAGCCTGTGGTGGTTAAAAACTGGCGATTGTGGGTTGTATGTGCCCAAGGGACTTACTGAACCTCCTGTCCCCTTTTGGCCATGTAAAGCCCACCTGAACCCCTTCTCCTAAATCTGCGTGGGCGAACTCCCCCCCCCCCCCCAAGTAAAAAAAAAAGGGTCCCTCGGCAATGGAACTCTCTCTCAATTGAGATCATTTATTATTTATTTATTTCAAAGTTTTATATACCGACCTTCTCACCTCTTTTGAGGGACTCAGACCGGTTTCCAACCATAAAAACACATACAATCGGTAAAACATCATAGTTCATATTACAATAACACATTAAAACAACAAATATATTCAAAACTACAGTGGTCAGATCAGATCTGCCCCCCCCCCTCCTGTCCTTCAGGAGGCTGGTGAAATCCTGGCTATGGAAGGAAGCATTCCCAGAGTAATGGTTGAAACCAGCTACAAAACAAAGTTATCGACCACACATACGGACTGAATTGGACATGATTTTGTCTTGGCGATTTGGCTTATTTGTAATTTTAATCGATATATATTTAAACTCGTTATTATATGATGTTTTTAGATTGTGCGGTTAGCATTGAATCCTTGCTGTAAGCCGGTCTGAGTCCCTCTACAGAGGTTGAGAAGATCAGGATATAAAAGTTTTAAATAAATAATGATGATCCCACCATTCTGGACAATGAAAAATGATCAAAACTGGTGGGGGTCTTTGTTTTTCTCTATAACTTGGGGCCTCCAAGAAGGATTTTTTTAGCTTTGGATGGGAGGAATGTTTCACAGTGATATATTATCAAAACTGGTTCCAAAAGCTGACTGCAGCAACCTGGAGATCACAACTAGACACGGTGAAGACATCTGCCCTTGCGTTTTGCTACTCTGCTGCTGAATACGCATGCCCAGTATGGACTACATCTCTTAATGAGACATGCCACATTATCACAGATGTCTACACCCTACACCACTGCAGAAATTATACTGTTTAACTGGTATTGTAACATCTCACATTCGTCAGGAAGTAGTAACCTGTAATGAAAGGGCCGAGGCATTGAAATCTCCAGCCCATCCTCTGTTTGGGTATTAGCCAGAAAGCCGATGCCTTAAATAAGAAATAGCTTCCTAAGATCTACAGATATACTTGCAGGAACACCTCAGCAAGCGAGGGTCCAAAAGGGGCAGGTCAAAATCCGGAACCTCAGTCGGTGGCTGATACTAGATGAGAAACTCTCTCCTGGGCACACAGAAGACTGGGTGACTTGGAAGGCGCTAAACAGACTGCACTCTGGCACCACGAGATGCAGAGCCAACCTTAAGAAATGGGGCCACAAAGTGGAGTTCACGACATGTAAGTATGGAGAAGAGCAAACTGCAGACCATCTATTACAATGGAACCCGAGTCCTGCCACATGCACACTGGACAACCTCCTTACCGCTACACAAGAGCCACTCAATGTTGCCAACTTCTAGTCAAAGGATATTAAGTATAATGTCAAGGTTTTTTTAACTTTGTGGTTTTTCTATACATTATAACTATTGTCAATTCGCTTCTAACACAATAAGGTAAATGTAAAGGTTTTCCCTGACATTAAGACTAGTTGTGTATGACTCTGAGGGTTGGTGCTCAACTCCATTTCTAAGCCTAAGAGTCGGTGTTGTCCGTAGACACCTCCAAGGTCACATGGCTAGCATGACTGCATGGAGTGCAGTTACCTTCCCGCTGGAACCGTATCTATTGATCTCACATTTGCATGTTTTTGAGCAGCGAGGTTGGCAGAAGCTGGGGCTAACAGCAGGAGTTCACTTCACTCCCTGGATTCGAACCACCAACCTTTTGGTCAGCAATCAATCAAAACTGGTTGCAAATGGAAAAAGTAGACACCCACATTTATTTCCTGTTCCCTCTCGTAGTGCATGGCGGCTGAATTTTGGAATAGTTACAGCTCCTTCTTGTGATATAAGTGTGTGCAGGAATATAAAATATACTCTGAACCTACCACAGTTGTTCATCGCTTCATTCTCCCATTAGAAGCTAGAATATAAGAGAGCCTTGTTGAATCAGTTGCCCATTTAACCCAACATCCAACCAGCAGGGTGTGTGTGTGAATAGAAGCCACATTAATCATCCTGTGGTTAGAGTCGGGCTGCATTCATTTTGGGCTAATTAAATTGGAATGAAATGGCATGTTCTCTATTAATGTTTTAGTAAATCCTCCCAACATTTGGTGCCTGCTGATTCCAATGCCAGACAAAAGGATCTGTGTCTGATGGCAAGGGATGAATGGAAGAATTTGTCAGATTGGTTACTCAGCCTTGGATTCATCATTCCGTTTCTGCATCAGATGCCATTTTTAAATAAGGTCAGCACAGAAATATGTATGGATTTTGTACACCCTTTTCCTAAAATAAGTACTTTGGGTTTAATCTTTGGAAACATTTTATTTTTGCTTTGCACCTTTACTGCTTCAAACTGCACTGCAAAATCTGACAACTTGTAACATTGAAGGACAGTTATGCCTTATGTTCTGATCAGTTTGGGAACTGAATACAATCCTATCCTGTCCTCTTCTGAGATCATCGGTGGTCAGTAAAGAAGAATTAGAACCTGGTGCCCCTGTGGCATTGATACTCACTGATGACCTCGAGGTTGCAATGCTCAGGGTAGGTGTACTGATTGTAGCCGCCCAGGTCGCCACGAAAGTAGTATTTGCCTGTGAGTTCAGGACTAAGGCGAGAGAGCTGCAGGGTGCAATTGCGGAAATTCAGCTCTCCTAGCAAACGGCTGCGTCCAACGTAGCTCTCATGGACAATATTGGTGCGGGATTTGAAGACCACTGGGGGATAGTTCTTGGGATAAGGACTGTTGAAATACCAGATGCCATGCACCGCTGAGGGCCGTAGTTCATCAGGGTAGTTGAAGCGGCATGGGATGACGACGCAGGTGCCTTCAAAGGCACTGATGTGCTCAGGCATCCAGGCGCTCCATGGTCCTGCCAGGACCCCTTGATAAGAAAGGCAGAAACAGAATGGGTAACTGCAATGAGTAGGGCAGAAAGGACAGATGAGTCTGATCAATACCTTGATAAATTTGGGCACTTCCAGACAGTACTAAATCACAGGTTTTAGTGAGGGGCAAAAAAATCCTGGAACTTCAGGAGAAGCCCACATACAACCTGTTGGTTTTCTGCCTCCATTGTCCAGACTTGATGCTTTGTTTTGAGATTTAGAGGCTCCCAAGATGGCTGCTGGAGGACTTCCAATGGAAACCAACAGTTTTTAAAAAAACTCACGAGAAGCGGATATGTGGATATGCGGAGATTCAGTTATGCAGATCAGCACAAGAATTCAGCTCTATGTGCAAGCCAGAGAAACTGTGCCCTCTACATGGTTCATAAAGTTTCTAGCACACAAAGTTTTTGCCTTCTACTCAAGTGTCACCTTCTTTTTGGGAACCAACAAATCAAGAACAAGCACCTAAAACCAAGGAACAAACCCAAAAAAAACCTCATGATTTCTGATTGCAGAGATATACAGACATGCGAAGATCCTGATATCCGGCTCAAAACCACAATATTCACGCACCTGGAAATCTCACATTTTTTGCCTTTTATAGCAATTGCTTCCAGGGTTACAGGGAACGGCATCTGGCCACCCTCCTATTTGCTGCAGAAGCTCCTGGGATAGAGGTACTGTCTGGATGGGACCTTTGTGTGCTTGTCTCTTCCCAAGGTCAAATCACTGGTTGACACACATTTTGGTGCCTCAAATACTGCACCTAACATTTGAGGCACCATTTTTGTGATTCCAAAAATGGCATTTGTTTTCCCCTATAAGCCTATTTTTTTGATATGCAGAACATATGCCACATACCAGTCGCCATCTGCTCTAAGACATCTGATGACCATGTCTTAGGGCCCTTCCATACAGCCCTATATCCCAGAATATCAAGGCAGAAAATTCCACATTATCTGAGTGTGGACTCAAATAACCCAGTTCAAAGCAGATATTGTGGGGTTTTCTGTCTTGATATTCTGGGATATAGGGCTGTGTGGAAGGGCCCTGAGAAGCTAGCCATCAATCTATTATTGTTACTGTTCATCATCATCATTTTACTTTCCCCCCAGTTTGGGACTTAAGGATGTTTTCAATAAGTTCTCAGTATTTAAAAGTTTTTAAACGTTATTAAATTATCAAAAGATTAAAACAAGGCTGTATTGCTTCTTTAGCACCACAATGCTTGTTTGTGTCGCTGGATCATATTTCAGTGGTTGCAACTTTGCCAACTGGGAGACTATAACAGAGAAAAAGTAGTGCATCATGTCCTCCAAAAGATACCTTCAATCAAGACCCAGAAGACTGCAAGAGTCCTGTAGAAGTATGTCATGTTGTTGATTTGGGAAGGCTGGAGCAGGCTGGAGAAGGAAAAAGAACGAGAAACAGGGTTCAGCGGCAGATTGTGGGACAACTGTTTGGACTTCCTGGAGCAGGAAACTGTTCCATGTAAAGGTGGTCCTCAAGATGACGACAACAACAACAACAACAATATAAACTTTATTTATACCCCACCACCATCTCCCCCAACGGGGACTCGGGGCAGCTAATATCTCTCCAAAAGAAGAGTGCTCTACCTAAGGATTTCATATCTTGGAAGGCATCTGCAGGATAAAGCCACCAACGACAAATATATGTGACATTTTGCTGATGTCAACAAACTCTCAACTATGTCATCAATCTGTGGTTTCCTGAGTAGATCGCTACCATAAGCAGTTGTTCCAGCAGAATATGGCTGCATGGACAAGATCAGGAGGAGAATCATAGAGTTGGAAGTATTCAAAGCACTCCCGACAGATGGCCATCCAGCCATCAGGGAGGAAGGAATGTGATTCCAAGGGGAATGAACAGAGAGTGAGCTGCAACTAATGAACAGGTTTTTAAAAGTTGCTCTATGACATGCCATTTTGGAATTTTTAATGGCACATATTTAAATATTTCTTTTATATATTTTCCCCAAGATAAGTTATTCCTTGTGTTGTTGAATGTTGCTGTGAGTTTTCCGGGCTGTATGGCCATGTATTCTCTCCTGATGAGAGAATGAGAGGTTTTGATGGCCCTGATTGCTTCGTGTTTGGAATTCTCCTGTTTACTGAGTGTTGTTCTTTATTTGCTATCCTGATTTTAGAGGGTTTTTTAAATACTGGTAGCCAGATTTTGTTCAATTTCATGGTTTCCTCCTTTCTGTTGTAATTGTCCATATGCTTCTCATTTTCAATGGCTTCTCTATGTAGTCTGACATGGTGGTTGTCAGAGTAGTCCAGCATTTCTGTGCTCTCAAATAATATGTTTGTTGGGAGCTAACATCTCCCAACAAAGGATTCCCCCAGTCAGGAAGCAGCCAGGCTTTGAAGCTGCAAGGCCATAAAATACTAATCAAGGTGGCCAATTGCAACATTCACACTTGCCTCCAACAGACAAGAGTTCTATCTCCCACCCTGGACATTTCACAGATATAGAAATCTCACTTGCCTAGTTTCCAACAGACCGCACAATTCCTGAGGATGGCTGCCATAGATGTGGGTGAAAAGTCAGGAGAGAATGCTTCTGGAATATGGTCATACAGTCCAGTAAACTCACAGCAACCCAAAGGTATTCCTTGTTGCTACCCAAAATGGAATATAAATGTTTAAGTATAATGCATAACATGTAAAACCCTCTGATTGCGTGGCTCCGTGATACCAGCAGAGGGCATGAGGATTCTGCAGGGTTTGCTGAAGAGCTACTGCAATATTAAATGTTGGGAGAGGCAGGATGACATAAAAAAATGCTGGATTTTACATTTCTAGGGCTGTCAATCTGCCCCATAGGAAAAAAATTGCCTGAAAACCTTGAAAAGACCCACCATGATTTTAAATTAAAATATGACATCTCAAATCTATTGGTTGTCTACTGAAAATTCAATTTCTACTTCTTTGTGTTGTAGTGTCTGCTAGTAAGATGCTTCTTTGCATAACTGTAAGCAAATTAAAGCACCATGCATCAACCATACAAATTCCATCCATTTTGAAAGAACATGTTCCTAGTCCTTATTATACTTTTTCATTAAGCATATCTACAAAAACCTGTATCCTTTACATCAGACAATACATGCAATATGAAATTGTAAAATGTTTTTCAAACAATGTCTAACAATGTAATAGAAATATATTGTAATGGCAATGTTTTTGCAGTTTAACATTGCAAGTATAGAGCAGGTATGGGCAAACCAGGGCCCTCTGGGTGTTTTGGACTTCAACTCCCACAATTCCTAACAGTCTCAGGCCCTTTCCTCCCCTTCCTCTTTTTCTTTCAGAGGCAGAAAGTGTAGGAAAGACAGGAAACATTTGGATCCCAACTTGGTTCACCTTGGTCAAGATGAGATGGTGAACAGGAGAGAAAAAGCCTATCCATTAGACCCTGTATTGCCTTCTCCTGATATAGAATCCTAGAGCTGGAAGAGACCCTCAAGGGCCATCCAGTCCAACCCCCAGCCATGCAACAAGGCACAATCAAAGCACTCCTAATAGACAGCTTCTGCGGAAAAGCCTCCAGAGAAGGAGACCACCATACTCCCAGGCAGCCTATGCCACTCTCCAACAGCTCTTACTCTCTGGAAGCTCTTCCTACCTCTTTCCCCTGCCATTTGAACCCATTGAAGACCATTGCTCCCTTGTGCCCTGGTCTCTAGAGCAGCAGAAAGTCAGTTTTCCCCCTTCTCCTCCTCAATACGACACCCTTTAAAATCTTGAAACACAGTTCTCATGTTCCCTCTATACCTTCTCTTCTCCCAGCTAAACATCCCTCAGGAGGAAAGGAGGAAGGAAAAAGAGAAGGAAGGAAGAGATGAAGGGAATGAAGGGAGGGAGGGGAGGAAGAAAAGAGAGAAAGAAGGAAATACAAAGGGGGAGGAAGAAAAAAGAGAGAAGAAGGGAGGAGAGAGGGAAGGAAGGATGACAGGGGGCAAAGGAAAGAAAGAAAGAGGAAGGAAGGAGGAGAAAGGAAGGAAGGGGAAGGAAGGAAGGAAGGAAGAGAGAAGAAAGGAAGGAAGGAAGGAAGGAAGAAGGAAGGAAGGAAGGAAGGAAGGAAGGAAGGAAGGATAGGATATTGAGAGAGAGGAAAGCCTGAGAAAAGAGCCAAGGGGCTGCATCTGGCCCCCGGGCCTAGGTTTGCCCATACTTGCTCTATATGGTTAATTGACCCTTCTTATCAAGCCCTGCAGTAACAAAAGATAGAATTATAGGCTCAGGTTGCAGATTACATGCCCACAATCCCTGGTTATAAGCAAAACAAAAACAAAACAATAAACCATACCAAATTTGCAAGTAAATAAGCATAATGCCAAAGGATGAAATGTCAACCATTAGCTCACACAATAATAGGGCATTCAAAGAGTGATTCCAGTGAAAATTGTTTTCAAACCCACCCTTTCAAAATGAGCAAAATGTAGACTCAGGGAAACTTTGGTTCACTCAAGAAGAGTCAGATGATCTGGAGTGGAGTTGGGCGCCAAAGCAGAATATCCTCAGTGGCTTCCACCTTGAACAAAAAAAAAAACAAAACATTGACATGTGAGTAGGGCTTCATCATTTCTCCGCAACTAAAATGTCACATAGCATATAAAGATCTTTTCATATTAAAAATTGGATGCATCCTCGAATGGCCCCATCTCATTAGTACCAATTGCCTGCTCTACATATTTTTCTTTACAGCTCCCATCAGAAAGACAAATGAGCAGGGATTATGGGGAGTGCAGTCCAAAGCACTGGAAAGTCCCAAGTGACCTGATTTGCCTTAGGCAGAAAATATGGAAAATATACTTTCAATAAGGGTTCCTCTGATATAATTAGCCAGTATTATAGGGAGTTAATGTCCAGGATTTAAATCCTCATTCATAGAATCATAGAGTTGGAAGAAACCTCATGGGCTGACCAGTCCAACCTCATTCTGCCAAGAAGCAGGAAAATTGCCTTCAAAGCACCCCCAACAAATGACTATCCAGCCTCTGCTTGAAAGCTTCCAAAGAAGGAGCCTCCACCACACTCCAGGGCAGAGAGTTCCACTGCTGAATAGCTCTCACAGTTAGGAAGTTCTTCCTAATGTTCAGGTGCAATCCCCTTCCTTGTAGTTTTAAGCCATTGTTCCTCATCCAAGTCTCCAGGGCAGCAGGAAACAAGCTTGCTCCCTCCTCCCTATGACTTCTCCTCACATATTTATACATGGCCCTCATCATGTCTCCTCTAAGCCTTCTCTTCTGCAGGCTAAACATGTCCAGCTCTTTAAGCTGCTCCTCATCGGCCTTGTTCTCCAGACCCTTGATCATTTTAGTCGTGCTCATCTGGACACATTCCAGCTCGTCAACATCTCTACTTTCAATTGCGGTGCCCAGAATTGGACACAGTGTGATTCCAGGTATGCTCTGACCAAGGCAGAATAGAGGGGAGCATGACTTCCCTGGATCTAGACACTAGACTCCTATTTATGCAGGCCACAAAATTCACACACAAAATTTAAGGGTTTCTATACCTTAGTATCACATGATACTTTGACTAAGACCCTAATGTGGGCAGGTATCATTTTCTCCACAGCAGAACATTCAGGACTTTGTCCTGTCCCTTCCCAAATAGTAGATGAGAATTCTATCACCATCAAGGGACACATCATCAGCAGATTGGGAGTGGGCAAAATGTTGCCTGTGTTGGGGCAATTTCTTTGCCCCAAAATACCATGTACTGGACATGGGTGGCCTTTCCCCTGCAACCAATTGAGATCCAAGTTTTGAAACATGAGCTTAAGGCCTCATACAGCCCTAAAATATTGTGAAAATGTACTAATGTCCTCTAAAGCAGTGGGGCATGAGTACATTTTTTTTTTAACCAGGGACCACTTTGACCAGGGACCACTTGACCAGGGACCACTTTGACCAGGGCACACTCTCCAGCAGTAGTACCAAAAGGATAACAAATCAGCTTTTAGTCAACTATAGATTTGGTTTGGTTATTTGGAGTGATGATTCAGAAAATTGCATTGGATAGACCACATCAGCTCTAGTTTCTGATACAGAACATATGCCATCCAGTAGTCACCATCTGCTCACCTACAGAAAACCATATTTAATAATCTAGAGATGATGTGGTAGTAGTAATCTTTTGTGGGTTGTCAGCTTCTCCCCTCCAGACATCCCATTGCCTCAGCACTATAAGAGAGTTTTGTAACACCAGTCACTCTCATTGCTGAGTAATTTCAAGGCAATGTTGTAGTAATGGTGAGGCCATGGACCATATTTTCATTCTTGCAGATCAACGGAGATCAATGGACCACAGGTTAAGAACAACTGCCCTAGACAGTATTTGGGGCAAAAGGGAGGTTGAGATTTTTTTTAGTCCCAAAGTTCATCGTGAAGTGGTGATACAGTCCCCAAGTCCACCCTAAAAGTATCCCTCAATACTTCTAGACTTGCACATCATTTATTAGACCAATACTTCTTTACTTTGGTTCTCCAGCATTATGCATCTTAGCTTCTCCTTTCAGTTATCCAAGCAAGATACTTCTGTAGCATCGCCCGCAGGGAACTCTCCATGGTCCTGAATCTCTTCGTTGAGTATCCTACCTGGATTTTATTCTGCAAGTCTTAATCCCCCAAAGAGGAGAATTCACTGAGGTTGTTTCTCAAACCCAACAGGTTTGTTAGAAGAATTAAATGCCGTGTACAAATATGTGAGAGGAATTCATAGGGAGGAGGGAGCGAACTTGTTTTCTGCTTCCCTGGAGACTAGGACGAGGAACAATGGCTTCAAACTACAAGAAAGCAGATTCCATCTGAACATTAGGAAGAACTTCCTGACTGTGAGAGCTGTTCAGCAGTGGAACTCTCTTCCCCGGAATGTGGTAATGGCTCCTTCTTTGAAAGCTTTTAAACAGAGGCTGGATGGCCATCTGAGCACCCACAGGGGTGCTTTGAATGCAATTTTCCTGCTTCTTGGCATGGGGGTTGGACTGGATGGCCCACAAGATCTCTTCCAACTCTATGATTCTGTGATTCTATGAAATGCACAGTCATTCATTTCCTCAGATGAACAGTAAGATCCAACTGAAAGGAACATTTATGAAAAGAAGAGAGATTTAAAGTCCTGATTCCAATCCTTTGTGACTGCAAAACTCCTTAAATGGTTTTGTACATGATCACTATCTACAGCAGCTTAGTAGCCCTACAGGGCCAGCATCCTGTTGTTGTTTACTTCCAATTAAAGTAGACCCATTCAGTTAATTCCTGAAGGTTGAGCCAACCCATAGCTTAATCCCATAGATTCAATGAGTTTGCTCTTGGCAGAGCTAACAAAGGGTTAGAGGTATTAAGTTTCAGCCTCCAGTGTATTCATGGTGGCTTGGGATTGACTAGGGCTATAGTTCAGCACTTCCAGAAAGTTAACAGGTCGGGGAAGGCTAACCACTTTAGAACTACAAAACGGCTCAAGCAAAGTCAGATCATTGCTGCGAGTAGATCAAAGGGGATCTTTCAGGTTCAGTGCCCTGCTGGATTGAATGCTATTTGATACTGGATACTATAATCACTCTGAGACATAAGATACTATTGCAGTGGCTTACTGGACTTCTCAGTGTTCCTAGTTCAAAAATTCACAAATGCATGACAATCACATCTCACCAGGCTGCATATCTAAAATGCCTGATGAGGGGCTCTTGTGAGCTATGCACCACACAAAGAGCAAAATGAGAAAGGCAAGAGAAAGATATGCAGAAGAAATAGGTTAGTGGCCTGACATGATTTCCTTTCCTTATGCTTTTTAAGAGAAATGATCACTGTCCAAGTCTGTTGTAATTGCTACTGTTAGAACATACATATTATCCAGTATATTGCCTAATAGTGGACCAACTTGACTGGAAGACAAATGGTCAAGATAGCATGTGCATCCTCCTCCCCTCCAAATGTTACTCTGGAATCCCTCCAGATATAATCAGATATTGGAGGTAAAGCTTCATATGGCACTAAGCTTGTCTTCGGGCCTCTCAACCAACCAGACAAGGTAGAAGACATTCCATTGTTAAATCTAGCTGGCTTCTGTGCCTGGAATGGACTGGGGACAGGAAGAGAACAATAAGAAACAAGTAACTGGAGATTGTCACATTGACATGAGGTCAATGTGCCTTTAGTACATCTCAAGCATTACAGTTCCATAATGTATTACCTGCAAGAGGGGACTTTTGGCCCTTAGATGTTTGAGGTCTCAAATTCCAGAAGCCCCCCGAAAGCACAGCAAGTTAAACCACTGAGCTGCTGAACTTGCTGACTGAAAGGTGGTGGTTTGAATATGGGGAGCAGGGTGAGCTCCCACTGTTGGGCCCAGCTTCTGCTAACCTAGCAGTTTGAAAACATGCACCTATGAGTAAATCAATAGGTACCGCTTCTGCGGGAAGCTAACGGCACTCCATACAGTCATGCTGACCACATGACCTAGGAGGTGTTTACGGCCAATGCCGGCTCTTCGGCTTAGAAATGGAGGTGAGCACCATCCCCCAGAGTCAGGCACAACTAGACTTAATGTCAGGGGAAACCTTTCCCTTATTTTTTTACACCAAACCATCTGGAAAGCTATGGATTCCCCACCTTCAGGCAGGTAGCCGGGGGGGGGGGGGGGGGGCTTGCGGGGCTTCAGCCCCCCCCCCCGAAATTCTCATGGTGGTTCGCGAAAAGGCCTTACTGGTGCATTATTTAAACTGTTATGTTTATTCATATCATGATCTGATCACCATACTCAATATATCCCATATGCATGGGGGTATTGGGGTAATGATACAAAAAGTTTGCTAGGGTAGACCCTCTTTCACTCAGACTCAGCCCCCCCCCGAAACTCAGCCCCCCCCCCCCCCCCCCCCCCCCCGAATCGAAATCCTGGCTACGGGCCTGCCTACCTTCCACTAATTTGAATTCCACCATGACCTGGGAGTACTTTGCACAAGATCAGTGGCCAGCAGGGTAATAATAGGAGTTTATTTATTTATTGATTTAGCAATATTTATAGCCCGCCTTTCTCAGCCATACAGCAACTCAAGGCAGGTTACAGATTGGCACAATTCGATGTCAGGCATTCATAAAAGTGCCATTAAAAACAATCAACATTACAATATAAAACATATATAAAAACTGTTAAAGCATATAATCATCAGTGTCATCCTGTTAAAAATGTCATCCAGTAACATCATCTGGTCATTCCATGTTCATCATACATAGTTCCATGTTATCCATTCCGCTGCATTCTCAAAAGCTTGCTCAAAGAGCCAGGTTTTTACTTTTTTTTTTGGAAAGTCAGGAGGGAGGGGTCCGATCTAATATCCCTGGGGAGTTCCATAGCTGGGGGCCAGCACTGAGAAGGCCCTGTCCTTTGTCTCTGCCAGTCGCACTTGCAAGGCAGGCAGGATTGAGAGCAGGGCCTCCCCAGACGATCTTAAGCTCCTAGATGTTTCATAGGAGGAGATATGTTCGGACAGGTAAGCTGGGCTGGAATTGAGTCTCATTCATTGAT